AACGAACGTTTACGACTCTGCCAGTCCCGTATCTGCGTCTTTAGTTACTTCAAAACTTGCCAACCTATGTGACATCCCTAATAACTCAAATCATTGTGATTATTCCGACCAAAGATATACAAATAAGAGTCAGGTGTGACAATTCCTGCTCTCAGTGTATAAATCCAATTTTATATATACTTCTGCCCTCACCCCCCAGGGGTGGTCTACACACCCACGCACGCATTTATGCCCCTACTACCCAGACACTGCTGTCCAACCTGTCACCTCTCTGCCCTTTTCTCATAAGAATTAGTTCCCCCGAATGAGACCATAGCAGATGTCAGTGGTCACTTGAGAGTTAACTAAGGTTGTATAAGTCCAAGTGAGGTCATGGACGGTGGTCACAGAGGTCAAAGGTAAAGGTTTCTTCCTTGTTGGCAGACTGTCTCTCTCCATAGTACCTCATCCTTCATGCCTGGAAGTCTGTTCTATCTATTTATTCTTGTCTGATTAGGTGTCTCCATGGGCATATATAGTGTAAAATAATAGATGTGTCAATAGGTTATTTCAGTGTAGTTCCCCTTCGCCCAGGGTGACGTTCCAGAACGGTTGATCAGCGCCCCGGGTGATGTTCCAGAACGGTTGATCAGCGCGCAGCGGGTGACGCTCCAGTACAAGCACCTTTTCCAGCCGCTGTTTGAGTGCCCAACCTGGGTTAACATGTACCAGCATGACTGTTTTTCTCTCCCGGAACGTGGAGGGAGACGTGGGTAGGCTAAGCGCGGTCAGTAACCATTCGCTCGTGGTCATGGAGAGTAATCCCTCAACTTCTCGTGCCCATTCCCCCCCACCCCTATCCCCGCATCTTCCACCACAATCAAGCGTCGTCAGCCTAGTGACCAAGAGGATAGCATCAAGTTAGAGGAGGATGCAGGCAGCGAGGCCCAGCTAGAACTGAGTATCCCTGCCAGGCGCTCACGACCCAGATAAGGGACAATGGATGCCTTTGTTTGGTCTGATGGCCATAATTTCCAGCCTGATATCCCTGAATTCAGAAGTTCATCAGGTGGAATTACTCCTGAATTTCCATGTACAGAGGAATCACGTGAGATAGATTATTTTTGTGCGTTCTTTGATGGTGAAATTATGGACTTACTGTGTACCGAGACAAACAAATTTTATTAGTACACGTGTGAGGCTGACCCCGGCTCTGGCCCCTTGCCACACATGCGTCCATGGAGTGATGTCGGTGTTGCCAAACTGTATGTGTCTTTTGCATTGCTGATGCTGATGGCAAAAGTGAAAAAACATGTACTTCAGGAGTATTGGATATTGAGTGATGATATCACAGCAACTCCAGTGTTTGCAAAATTCATGTCTTGAGACCGGTTTGCCTCCATCCTACGTTATCTACACTTTGTAGATAACAACATTCCTGTGGCTGGTGACAGTACTGAATTTATATTTAATGTTTTGTTAATTCTATTACTGGTATACAGTACTTTGTATGTACTTTTTCTGTGAGTTGGAACCAATTACCCAATATCCTACTGAAATAATAGATTCGGTTAACAAAATTTTCGGTTAACGAATGACTCTGTGGAACGAATTGTGTTCGTTAACCGAGAGACCACTGTATTTGATATAAAGGTACTTTCCTAAACCGTCATTTACTACCTTTGAGTGTTATATGATGGCTCAGTTTGGCTACTTGCACACTTAGACAAATGATTAATGAATAAACCTGGGTATATGCAGATACACAATATTGTACACTACAATATTACTTATTAGTGATGATAAATACAATACAATAGTATTTATTAAGTGATGATAAATACACTGCAAAAGTATTTATTTAGTGATGATAAATACATGACTGCACTGTACTAATTTACTAAGTGTTGAAGACAGACATTGTGGTAAGCTGATAAGCTGTTTGCCCTTTGTAAACAAATGATTCATGGTGCTCAGTGTGGGATTCTTTTCTCAGAAAAAGCTGATTCTTTTAGGATAATATTTTATACCCAGGTAACAAATGAACTGATATTACAGTATAGTCTCGATTTAGGCGGATTTCCTTTACGCGTTCGGTCATTTACGCGGCACCTGGCCAGACCGACAATTATTAGTTACGTGGTACATTCCATCATTTACGCAGGAAGCAGCGCGGGCAGGGTGCGCACAAGGTCGCCCAGTCAACAAAAAATTACCGAGTTCTTCACCCGCCACCCACCACAGCCAGCCCAAGTCAGTGATAGTGAGGATATGGACTTTGAGGGGTTTAAAAAAGAGGCCTTGCATGCCTCTGTAGTGGATAGTGATACAGGTGATAAAAGTGATACAGGTGAGGGCCAATAATCTGCCCTCTGCCTCGGAACCAACCCCCCATCCCCGTGTACCCAGCTATCTCTTCTACTAACGAAAGTGTTAAAAACCCTATTATTATTGATATTTCTCTTAAATATTAATTGTGTGTGCATACCATCATAAAATTAAGATGTTATTTTTACTACAACGTACGTATTGTGTCGGAATAAGTGTAGTTTGGGGGTTGGCCGAGTCTCTATTTCAATTAATCCCATATGTTCTGTTATTTCGTTTATAAGTTCCTCGTTTTACGCGGAACTCCACGGGTTTAATTGACCGCATAAATCGAGAGACTACAGGCATCCCCCATGTTACGGAAGGGTTCCGTTCCCGGAAAATTGACCGTATCGCGAAATTCCGTAACGCGAAACCTATTTTCCCACTGACTTCCATTATAAAACTGGAGATGCGTTCCTAAGGAATTTTTTTGGCCCCAAAAAAGTAATTCAAGCACTTTTATTAATGAAAATAAACATTTATAAACACATACAATACAGTACATTAAATAATTTATGATATACCTTCTTAAAACACCAATTTAGGGGTTAATATTGCATAATATTGCATTATACAGCTATGTGTATGTTTATTTGAGTGCCCCGTCATAGGAGTCCGCTTTCTCTCACTTCAAGGCCGCCTGAGTCGTCCATTTTCTCTTAATCTTAAGAGTGCGCCAGGGACTACTGTTTTATTTTTTAGTGGTGACACAGAATTTGATATTGCAACTGGGGTTGCAATTGTTGAGGCAACTTAGGTATATCTGATTACAGTTGGAATATTCAAGATCCATTGTGAGTGATGTTTAAAGCTTCAACTGTCTTTATGGTCAGTAAAACTTGTCAGTCTGAATGGCATGTGTGAGGCCTTGTGTTTGTACAACCGCTAAATATATAAATATATAATGTTATGGTAATTATCAGAAACACACATAGGCATGATGAGGTTTATTACAAAGTGATGAAAAGGATACTGTATAGTGGGTAGTCCACAAAACATGTGCTAGCCATGTCTCTTTATTTGAGTGCCCCGACATAGGAGTCCGTTTTCTCTCACTTCAAGGCCGCCTGAGTCGTCCGTTTTCTCTTAATCTTAAGAGTGCGCCAGGGACTACTGTTTTATTTTTTAGTGGTGACACAGAATTTGATATTACAACTGGGGTTGCAATTGTTGAGGCAACTTAGGTATGTCTGATTACAGTTGGAATATTCAAGATCCATTGTGAGTGATGTTTAAAGCTTCAACTGTCTTTATGGTTGGTAAAACTTGTCAAGTCTGTCAGTCTGAATGGCATGTGTGAGGCCTTCTGTTTGTTAAAATCTACCCCAATTTCCGTAAGGGTGGATTTACGAGCCGTAACGCGAAATTATTGGTCATAATTTACAAATTCCGTAAGAGCGAAATTCCGTAACCCGGGCTTCTGTAACACGGGGGATGCCTGTATACTGTATATGATAATTATGGTGAAATTACATAAAAAAGTGTTTAAGGAATCTAGGGGGAGAAAGGGAGAGGGTGCCAACCACCCATGCACCCCCCCCCTCTGCCATCTGCACTCAGATAAACACTCGTCTTCCATATACAAAATACTCCTACACTTATTTGTTCTTATTTTTATCTTTATAGTACTGTACAGTATACAGTTTCTCTTTATTCATAAGACAAATCCTGTGGTTGCTTACATAAAACACTTCACAGTAAACAACAACCATCTGGGTAACAAATTGACAACCAGACTTAGAGTAAGTCTGATTTTCAACCCAGAGAATTCCCTTCTATATTTTTTTTATTGTTAATGTAATATTCTTTTAATAACCTTTTTATACACTTAAAGACCATAGTTGTTGAAGTGTAGTAATAACATAACAACAACTGATTTTCTATAAACAGTTCAGATAAGCAGTGTTATCTCCCCCCCAAATATTCACTTTTCTTCGAGGTTCTATTGTATAGTACTATGTTTACAATGTGGTCTGACATACAGACATGAGTATGTATTGTGATTGACTGAAGGCACTCAGGTTATCAAGTGTCTTCTCATTGTTACACATGAAATATGGCTTCAAAATATAACATCCATTGTCACTAATAGTTTATCAGATACAGTGAGAATTGTATTAGTTAAAACACATTTCATGATTTCCTCCATATTGGTTGAGCTAAGTGTGTAAGGTTTGGAGCAGTGAGGAAGTGTCTGAGGTAAAGGTAGCCTCCCTCAGCCCTACAACCTCTCTGGTGTTATCAAAGGAGGGATATTCTCCCAGGTGTCCACCTAGGAGGGAAGTTCAACCTACAGTATTATTCTCCAATAGGTTGAATTTAATTCTGACTCCTATCTTTGCAGGCCATAATGATACAACTCATCATATTGCTGGACTTTCAAATGCCCCTGGAATGACTGGATAGAGACTTAAGCTTGCAGCAATGTACTATTTACTGGTACTTGAGAGAAATCTCTGCTGCTGGGATGTCCAGCATCATAGGATCTAATTGCCAATATGTCACTGAGGACAGTAGACTACAGTATATGAGTATGGTCAAGCTTATGCAGTGGAGGTAAGAAAAGGAAAGGGATTGGAATATATCTGTGGCAGAGTGAATGAATATGTGTGTGTGTGGAAATAGGGAACAAATACTGATTCAATGCTTACCTTGGTAGAAAGTTTCTTGTTGCAGACACCACATTCATATATTTTCAACTGATCGTGCTTTGTTGAAATGTGTACTCTTAGATTTCTTTCTTGGTAGAAGTACCTGTAACACAGATTCATAAAAATAACATACAAAATCAGTGACTTTGAGAAAGAGAAAAGGTTAGAATAATTCTAAATTCAACCACTTCCTAAATTTTGTATTCTTGTAAACATTCGTAGAGCCATAACCCTGAATCCATATTTTTAAAATGTTTGTAGCCAAAGTTGAGACCAATTTAAAAATTTATTCATTAACCTCCCATCCTTAACCAATTTTGATTTACATAAAAACTAGTGATAGATTCTGCAATCCTGTTATATGAACTATAGGCTTTGTGGACAGCCCATGAAGGTTAATAATAATAATAATAATACAGTACTGTACTGTAATGTAAAATTAATAATAATTTTCATTCAGTAAAAATTTCATGTAGGTTTTCAGGTGGATAGAAATGTATATAAATTACAGTATGTCCGTGCTTAACGTCGCCCCGCTTAACGTTGTTTCGGTACTACATCGCTAAACTTTAAAGACCAAATATTCGTTAAACGTCCAGGTGATCCGATACTACGTCGTCTTGCGTTGTCACAGACTACATTTTACGGTGGATCACCCTCTCTCGTCTGGCCGCGCTATGCTCTCTTGGCTCAGCGCAGGTCTCAGTGACTCACCACCCTCCTCCTCCGCTCCCATCATACTTCTCCCTTCCGCCATCTGCTTCCTCTGCTTCACTACCCACCACACACTCGCTCTATCACCTCCGCCCATTGGTGAGTACCAATACAAACTTAGTAGTTGTATAAGTATGCACTATTTTCTATAGAAATGGCAATAATTTTCTGTATATGTAATGTATTTCATGGGGCAAAGGGATGTTCAAGAACGTAACTCCCGTATTTTATCTATTTCTTATGGAGAAAATTGATCCGCTTAACGTTGTTTCGTATAACGTCGCATTTTTAGGAACGTAACCCCGACGTTAAGCGAGGACTTACTGTAGGTAGATATACAGTTCAGCATGATATAAACAATGTAGACTATAAACTATGTAGACATATGGTACACATAGGCCATTGGAGTACAATATACTGTTACACCTATTCAGTATGACAAAGCCACCTTTCCAACCATGCCCCCAATTCAAGAATTCCAAAAGTAAATAATGATCTTGCCATATAAGTCCAGAAAGACAATTAGGTTTCTGAATAAACACAAACTGGATCACTTTCATTGTAGAAAATGTCACTTCAAGAATCAACCTGCCTTTAGCCTTTGGAGCATGAGAAGGATAAAACATGATATTCAAGGACAAATGGTTAAAGTGATATCATGAAACTATTAAACATTTGTTCTCAAAGGGTTAAACCTTTGTCTTTAAAGGGTTTATTTTTATCCTCAAAGGGTTAAACATTCATATTCAACAGCTTAAACCTTCATCTTCAAAGGGTTTAACAACTGTTCTCAAAGGGTTTAAAAATCAGCCTCAAAAGAGTTAAACCATCATTATCAAAGGAGTAAACCATGATCATCAAAGGACTAAACCATTGTCCTCAAAGTAATAAAGCTCCCATTATCTCGTACTTGTCAGCTCCTGTTATTTTCCTTATCATCATCTCTACACTGTATAAATGTTTAAAAGGGTTGTATAGTAGCTATTAGAGGGTAATTATTGCTACACTCAATGTTTTCAATCCACCCTCTGTGAGATGTAAACCCCGAGAGTTTTAACTCATGAATCCAAACCATTCACGAGTCAGAGGGAGAGGAGGACTGGGGGATGACGGGGCCAGTATGTGAGTGGGTGGCAGGTTATGGGGGTTAAGGAGGGTGTTAGGGGGCTAGAAGGAGGGGAGAGGTTTAATCCCCACGCCCCAGTTGACGTTCCGGAACGTCCATCTAGGGTGCCCCGGTTGATGTTCCGGAACGCGCGCCTTTTCGCGACGTTGTTTGAATGCCCTACGGGGGTTATCAAGTTCCAGGGTGACTATTTGCATGTCATACCACACGCGCGGCCACAAGGAAGCTTCCTGAATGTAAGTACCTACTTTTGTTTGTTTCATTTTCATTGCTTGTCCAATTTATCATGTTGTATCAAAGTGATATTGCTAAAAGTAGTGTACTATTACTGAAAAATTATGCTAGGATTATGATATAAATGTATTTATTTGTGGAATTATTATTCCAACTATTATTTATATGCATTACTAGCTCTACCAAACATAAAGACAGCCAGACAGCCTGGTTACAGACTGCGTGTGTCGCCAAGCACTTTTTATGAAAATTAATGCAAATAAAATACAGTAAGTTCGCACTTAACGTCGTCCCGCTTAACGTTGTTTTGGTACTAATTCGCTAAACTTTAGAGACCAAAAATTCATTTAACGTTCCGGTGATCTGATACGTATTCGTTTTACGTTGTCACGGACTACTTGCAGAACGTCACAGTGTCCCCAAGCAACGCCGAGCCAGTCTTTGTTATGACTTTACATCATTTGTATGTGCTTAAGTGTTTTTGCTCTAAAACTGTATTCTAACCATTCAAAATGGCTTCCAAGCACCCACCAAGTTCTACTGATGCTAGTGTAATTAAGAGGCAACATAAGACCATAATCCTGGCTACGAAAATGGATGTACAGTCGGCCCTTCACATACGCGGGTTTAGCATTCACGGATTCGCAAATACGCGGATTGCCCAGCCGGAGGAATATTCTGTACATTGAAGTAATTGAAGTACATTCAAATCGCGCGCCATTCAACTCGCACGCGGCACCGAACACGGGACACCGCCCGCTCCCGCAACCTCTCACACACGCATAGCGCGTCACGCCATCCCGCTCTCTCACTCAGTCTCGCTGTAACCACGCTTGTGTTGACATCAGAATTGTAGTTGCTATGCTTGCTACCCACATTTACCATGGCCCCTAAAAGAGCATCAAAGACACCAGCTGGAGCCACCCCTAAGCGCCAGAAGAAAGTGATGACTCTGCAGGAGAAGGTGGAGTTGTTGAATAAGTTAAGGGAGGGAATGTCGTTCGCTGCTGTTGGGCGACTGTACAACGTGAACGAAAGCACCGTACGTACCATCAAGAAAAAGGAAAAAGATATCTGTGATGCTGTAAGTGCCAGTGCTCCACGCAGTGCTAAGCATGTCAGCCAAGTGAGGGAGAAGGCAATGGTGAAGATGGAGAATGCCTTGTTTTTGTGGATAGAGGACCAGCATCGGAAAGGTGTAGTAGTGGACTCTATCCTTATCTGGGAGAAAGCTAAGTCTCTACACACACGCTTCACGCCTGCAGCTAAGGAACCCGTACCCAGTACCAATGCTGCTACCCCCACACCGAGACACCTCAGACACCTCCGACACCTTTCCAAGCGAGCAAGGGGTGGTTTGACAATTTCAAGCGTCGATTTGGCCTGAAGAATGTGAAGATGACTGGGGAGGCTGCGTCAGCAGACACCATGGCTGCAAAAACTTTCCCAGCAGAGTTGTTAAGCAATACTCGAGGAGCAGGGTTACAAGCCAGAACAAGTTTGGAATATGGACGAAACAGGTAAGACATAAATTACTACTGTACAATTAACCTTAAAAATGCTCAAATACCTGTTGTACTGTACGTACTGTATTGTGTTGTAAGAGAAAACGGGATAAATGCGTCTGAGTTTTATACAGTAGCTTTTATATTTTTATTCCGTAGTGATTTACCATACAGTGTGGTGTAATATTTTTATACCAATTTTGATACCGTATACTGTATGTATAATAGTACAGGGTGTACTACGAGTATTTTCTTTTCCAACAGGTTTGTTCTGGAAAAAGACGCCACAGCGCACTTTCATCACCCAAGAAGAACGCCGTGCACCAGGATTCAAGGCAACCAAGGACAGGTGCACCGTGCTATTTTGTGGCAATGCTGCGGGTCACCTCATTCGCCCAGGCTTCATATACAAGTCTAAGAAACCGCGTGCATTCAAACACCGCGACATGAGCTTGCTGCTTGTTTTCTGGATGTACAATAAGAAGGCCTGGACAACGAGCGACCTGTTTCTCAACTGGTTCCACCATTGTTTCCTGCCAGAGGTCGAACGCTACCTGCACCAGAAAGGATTAGAGTTCAAGATCCTGCTAATCCTCGACAATGCTTCTGGTCATCCACAGTCAGTGGAGGTGCTGCATGAAAAGGTACAGGTGTTGTTCCTTCCACCCAACACCACTGCACTTATCCAGCCAATGGACCAGGGAGTTATCAAGACGTTCAAGGCTAACTACAGTAAACGTGTGATGGCCAGGCTGCACTCAGACTTAGACCATGATCAAAACCTGGATGTGCTTCAGTAATGGAAGAACTTCAACATTGCCGACTGCTTATCTTTGGTGGCTGAATCTTTCAAGGATGTGAAGCCTGAGACAGTGAATGCCTGCTGGAAATCACTGTGGCCTGAATGTGTGAAAGATTTCACTGGATTTTCTCCTGACAAAGCCATCGCAGAGGCGGTGAAAAAGACCCTGGCACTGTCGAGGAAAGTGGCTGTTGAAGGCTTCCAGGACATGGCAGAGGACGAGATTAGGGAGCTAATCGAAGAACACGACATTGAGCTGACCGAGGAGGATCTACAGGAGTTAGTAGACTCAGGCAAGGAAGAGGAAGAGGAAGCGAAAGGGAAAGAGGATGAGGAAGAGCACCAAGAAATAATGTTGGAGAAGTTGGGGGAGATGACCAGGATGATTGAGGCACTAAAAAACCTGGCCTATAGTATGGACCCCTCCATGGTGCGTGCCCTGAAATTCATGCGAGGGACGGATGATGCTTTTGTTCCATACAAAAACATCATGGAAGAAATGAAAAGAAAGAGACGACAACTCCCCATCACCATGTTCTTTGGTTACCGAAGGAGAGATTCAACACCATCAATCGCTGGCTGCAGTGAGGAAGCAGCTGAATCCACAGTCGCCCCCACTTCACCACCTGTTATGGAATTGAGTGACGATGAGCCCGATAACCCCCGCCCTGTCGCCGAGGAGAGGTACGGTACAGTAAAGTGAAATTCTTATCTCTTTTTTT